GTCATTGTTGTTTGGCGGGTCCGGGCTGGGGATTCGAACCCGCCACCTCAGGTGTACGTGGCTGGCGCCTTAGCCGGTTGAGCTATAGGCGCCGCACCAGTTGACAGGCTTTTATAGCGAACACCTGTATACCCACCACCCTCATGCTATCACTAACATTTATTGTACTTGTTCTTTCACACGTCTTTCATCTATCCTCTTATATGCATTTTAAGGTAAATTGTAGACATCAGTTCACTTTTCCCAAATACTTCAAAATGCACATTTTTAATTAGTATTCAGTATTTTGTTTGCTTTCATTTTGAGTTAAACCTTTAATATAATGAAATGCACAAATTTTATGTAGACATTGGCTGAGTTTTGACAAATGTATGTACCTGTGGAACCCTTTAGGATTCTATCAAGATGTAGAATAATTCTGTACCCACATATTAATTTGTAATAAAAAATAAAAATAGAGAAAAAAAAAGATGTAGAATATTACCATCACTCCAGGTACTTCTCATGCCAGGAGAACTCTCCAGGTGGTCTCAGTTAATTTCCACCTCTATACCCCCAGAGGCAACCATTGTCCTGATTTTTTGCACCATGGATAAGTTTTGCCTGTTCTTATAACAGTGGATTTGCATATTATGTACTCTTTTGTTTAAAGCTTCTCTAACCTAGCATAATGTTTTTGAGATTTATCCATGTTATTGAACCCATCAGCAGTTCCTTTCTTTTTATTGCTGAGTAGCAATTCTTTGTATGACTTTATCATACTTTGTTTATTCATTCTCTTGTGGATAAACACTTGGAGTGTTTCCTGTTTAGGATGTTATGAATAAACTGCTATGAACATTTTTCTAAAAGTCCTTTTATGGGAATATATTTGCCTTTTTTTTTTTTTTTTTTAGACAATGTCTCACTTTGTTCCCCTCAGTAGAGTGCTGTAGTGTCGTAGCTTGCAGCAACTTCAAACTCTTGGGCTTGAGTGATTCTTTTGCCTCAGCCTCCCAAGTTGCTGGGACTACAGGTGCCCACCATAGCATCTGGCTATTTTAGAGACAGGGTCTCACTCTGGCTCAGGCTGGTTTTGAACTCCTAAACTCAGGCAGTCTACCTGCTTCAGCCTCCCAGAGTGCTAGGATTACAGGCCTGAGCCACCATGCCTGGCTGAATATATTTGCATTTTTAGGGATAAATAACCTACGTGTGGAATTGCCAAGTTATAGGGGTAAATGGCAAATCCTTTTCCAGAATGGTAGTACTAATTTACACCACCAACAGGGTATTACTGTTCTTTTTGTTTCACATTCTCACCTAATTTGGTGTTCTAAGTCTTACTGATAAACCATCTTGGTGAATGTATAGTGGTACCTCATTGTGAAAGTGTATTGTGATTAAAATAGCTGTTTTCGGTTTCTTTTTTTTGGAGACAGTCTCATTCTGTCACCTTGGGTAGAGTGCTGTGGCATCATCATAGCTTGCAGCAATTTCAAATTCTTGGGCTCAAATAATCCTGCCTCAGCCTCCCAAGTAATTGAGACTACAGGTCTACCCACCAGAATGCCAGGCTGTTTTTCTCCTATTTTAGCAGAGACGGGGTGGAGGGACTGTTGGGGAGTTCTCTCACTCTTGCTTAAAGTAGTCTGGAACTCCTGAGCAATCCACCCTCCTCAGCCTTCCAAAGTGCTAGGATTACAGGTGTGACTCACAATGCCCAGCTCAAATAGCTATGTCTTTCTTTTTTTTTTTTAAGAGGCAGAGTCTCACTTTGTCAACCTCCAGCTCTTGGGCTTAGGTAATTCTCTTGCCTCAGCCTCTCGAGTAGCTGGGACTACAAGCGCCCACCACAACACCCAGCTATTTTTTTGTTGCAGTTTGGCCAGGGTCGGGTTTGAATCTGCCACCCTTGGTATATGGGGCCAGCACCTACTTACTGAGCCACTGCTCTGCCCCAAATAGCTATTTCTTATATCTCACCTTTTTATCTAATCACTCCTCATACACATTACTCACACACATCAGCTTTACCAGTTTCTACCCAGCTTTTTTTGTCCTACTTTGATTTAGTGTGTGCCAGGGGAGTCTAACTGCGGCTGACTATGAATCCTTATCTGTGTTGGCAGATATCACAAAAATCACACATGCAACTTTTTTATGCTTGTCAGGTTTCATTAGTGTTTGTATTTGATGTGTGGCCCAAGACAACTCTTAAGTAAGCATTTCTAGCCAGCCATGGGCTGCAGCTGGACGCCCATATAAGTTTAGTGCAAACTGAGAATTTAATATAAGCAGTTATAAAATATATCAAGACTTAAGTATGTTATTTTAAATACATGCTAATGGAACTACATACCTCTTAGAGAGATTTCCTTGGATTTTCCCCTTTTTTTGTTAATCTCTTAAATATTCTCCAGTATGGATTTTTTTTTCTTTTGAAACAAGGCATTTAACCTCTCCGTACAATATAAAGTATTCTGAAGTCTTTCCTTTAAAAATATTTTGTTCTTTTAGTTGAACTTATACTTTGGAGAAAGTTGATTTCTCTTCTTGTATATCCTTGTATACACTGTAGTGTCTAAAACTGCCTTATATAAAATATGTAAGTGTTCATTAAATATTTGTTGAATGTTCCCACCCCACAGATAAGAAAATCTTTTACTTATTTGAATGACCTTTTTTATATGCTTTGAAATAAAGCAACAACACAAGCTTTCAAATAGTATATCTTTCATTTTCTAAGTTAATGTAGTGCCAGTCTTTCTTTAAAGAGACCAGTTTGTAAAATGAACTGTTCCCTAATCTTACTTGCGTGAAATACGAGGGCAGAGGTTGAGATCATGATGTGCACATAAGAATAGCAGTAACTTCAATGAAGTAAGCAAATGGGGGCACAAACAGTGAGCTGTGGTTCATTGGGAATTCTGCCCAGTCTCCAGCTTGTGGCAGCTCTGGGAAAGCAGCCTAAACAGTTCTTGGGGTTCTTCAGGTTAATAACAAGAAGCAAGGGTGGAGCGCTTAATCCTTTTAAGTGAATGATAAACACTGTTGAAGGCGTGTCTTCAAGCACCCTACTCCCGCTGGGCTGTAGGTCACGTGAGCTTAAAGTACTTCCCGGATTCCCACCCTCTACCTCCTGTAGGTAATGATCAGAGTCTAAAAGGAGGACAGCAGAGAAGAGGTAGGAAGCTTGGAAGGAAGTTTAAATACTGAAAGAGCAAAGTATTTCTAACTATAACAATGCCACACTTTACTGTGACTAAGGTAGAGGACCCAGAGGAGGGGGCAGCAGCTTCAGTCTCTCAAGAGTCTAGTTTAGCAGAAATAAAAGCCCGGATTCAGGATTTCGATGAACTAGGTAAGTACTCACCTTGGGAGCTTTTAGAACCTATGAAGTTTTTTGCAAGAGAAATGGTAATTAAAATATCAAAATTCAAAATGCCTTATGGATGGAGAAAAGTGTCGTGGTTGATGTGTTTTCCAGTCAGTTGTTTCATTCCCCTGTATATCTGATAACTTCTCTTACTTTTTTCACACACGGATTTTTTTCCCCACAATGAAGTCTGTGTTCATTATCAGCCAGTGAAATTCAGTCAGTGGCAATGTATGAAAAGAGTTTTCAAGCAAAAAGAAAGGCACAGTAAAGATCAATTTATGTGGAATTATAATTCATTTTTTACAGAATTTAGATTGTTATCTGGAAAAGACTGCAAGCCCAACTAGTAGATGACATTTAAACGTTATGTGATATTATATAAAGAGGGAGCATGGTCCAGCAGTTTTGTACCATGGACTTTGTCTGTACTTGTGACTTCTCAAGTTATTCAGTATTTTGCCTTAGTTTACCAGCTAAACAGTAATTCAGTAGTGAATGATCTAAGAATTCTTTAATTAACAGCACAAAAGTACAATAGATGGTTAGTATGGTGACTAGCATAACATCAGGTTTAATAAAATTATGTGAATATGATTATCCTTATTTCTTTTAAATGGTAGTTACATTTGCCAGGGGAATTGTGGTTTTGAAGTTTTAAACATCCAGTTAAAATCTTAATGTTATGGTATTAAACTTAGTTACAGTTTGAAGCACCTTATTTTTTAAATCTGTAAATTGTCAGCAACTTCTCTAGTATGTGAATTAAGGCTAAAGGAATAAGTGTTTAAAATTCCTTTGAATCCAGCATGTAACATATTGCAGTTCCTTGCTATAAACAGCTGCTGATTATCTCTTTTTCATAAACTGGGAATTTTCAAGAATCTTTAACTTGTTTGAAGATAGAGACTATGAAGAAAAACGTACCTTTATTTATTTATTTTTCTTTTAGTGAGAATTTATTAGGGAAAGATTAGAAAGAAGGTTTTTATTTTCATTTTGCTAGATATTGAGGGGTGACTAGACGTTGAAAGCAAGTTTAACCTACTTTGAACTTGAACCTGATTCCTTACAACTTTAGCTCATAGGCATTAGGTTCACTCTCAGGCCTTTGTGTATTTGAAGCTACACTTTCTCAAATTGCTTATGATTGCCACCTTAGATTTTGATCCCTTTAGGCTTTTGTCTTTGCTATTGTCTTCCTTGATTTCACAAAATGCAAACAAATGAAGTTCGTCAGTACCTCATTCTATTTTTTTATTTCCTTTCTCTCCCTCTGTTTTATTCTTTCATCTTTACTAGTCCCTTTATGTTTGGGAAAATTTGCTTTCTTCAGATTAGAACAGAGTATTAAAATCATTAGCAACCACCTATAAAAGTCATAAAAATTTTGATAGTACCCAACTGTGTATAAGGGACATTATTAGGCTTAATTTAATTTTCTTCTATAGTAATTACTTTTAATAAGGACAGTGTGACAGATATAATCTAACTTAAATTTAACAAGGCTTTTTATTTTGACATTTTCCGTAATGGCCCAGAAAATATCCACTTGAATAAACTGTTGCTTGGCAAATAAACAACCAGTGGTAATATATTATCTAAATAGCACTTATCTTTATTATAGGGTTAAATTAGAGGGAACAAAGAAGAAGAATGTATATGGAAAAAATCTAAAAGTCATTTGGTTTCTTTTTAAACCTGGGAATAAAATGTTCTTGAGAGTAGATAACTTTTTTGGGGGGGGGAGCAGTTGCTTGAAATGCTTGTCCCTTGCTCTCCTGATTTAAAAAATTGATTGTGGCTTTGTTGCAAGTACTTTCAACATTGGCCAGTTATATAACCAGCATCCTTTCTCATTGTTTTTCCTATTTGTGTGGACAGAAAATATGTAATGATATAATACATTGAACATATTTAGAAAGAGGGTCATCTTTTAACATGTATTTTTAAAAGTTGAGATTTATTTGAATGAGACAGATGAGTAATTTGAGATATAATAGAAATATGAATATAGAGATTATGTAAGAGTAATTTAAAAATTAAATACAGGCATACCTCAAAGATAATGTGGGCTCAGTTCCAGACCACTGTAATAAAGCAAATATTGTAAAAAAAAAAAAAAGTCGTGAACTTTTTTATTTCCCAGTACATATAAAAGTTTTATTTATACTATGCCACAATCTATTCATCCTTTAAAAAAAAAGTATATACCTTAATTTAAAAGACTTTTTAAAAAAAAATTTTGCTATTTTTTTAAAGATAGGTTCTTACTAATTTGCCCAGACTAACCTCAAATTCCTGGGTTCATGAAGCGCTGGGAGTACAGGCATGCTGAGCTCGAATAACTCTTTTTTTTTTTTTTTTTTTGAGACAGAGCCTCAAGCTTTCCCCCTGGGTAGAGTGCTGTAGCATCACAGCTCACAGCAACCTCCAA